TATTTTTTTATTTGAGAGAGTAACATCTCTTTGAATGTCAATAGCTAGGTACTTATTATTCAAGTTTTTAGATCCTTATATAGAGAAAAAAAAGAGTCGTTGTAGAGCTTGCACAAGAGAGTCTTTGAGAAGCTTGATTCAGAGACGTTCATATATTTTTTGATATGGTTAATGTCGTTGAAAGCTCATTTGAAATCGCTTTGCCACAAAATGAATTACATGTTGCATCCCAGCTATCTTTTGCAGATTTTTGCTTAAGTCTTCACATGATCAGAAGAAGACAAAATATTCTCAAAATAAGATACTGATCTATCAAAATCTCCTCGATCTTTGCATTTGACTGAGTCTTCATAGTCTGAACCTCTAGAGTATGGATCTTAAGAGGCTGACTCTTTAGAGTTTGGATCTTCAGAGGCTGACGTTATTCAGAGTCCGAGTCTTCAGAGTTCGGTCTTCAGCTTCTGATATTTCAGAATCAGGATCTTTAGCTTCTATTTAGATTTTCATTCTTAGTACCAGTACTATGTTCTCTTCATAAGTTTTAGTCTATGGTCCTGCACACTTGAACATTTGTTAGTATGCCCTATTGTTCTTTAAATACTTTATTATCATTAAAACCTTAGAGGTATGGTACACACCAATTTTATTCCAACATATTGGATAAATAACACCCCAAATCAACAACAGTTACACCTCATCATTAATTTATCATGAAATTTATAATTATGTTCATCACCGCCAAAACATATAAAAAAAAACAACACCAATCCGAATTTCACATATAATTTGCATACAAATTCAACACATAATCACAACATAGTAGCAATTTTGTAAGATAAGCATATTGACCATATCATGGTAAGTGTGGTTTGTGTTTTGAATTAGGTGGTTAAACAGAACACCAGTTTGTAAGATAAGCATATTGATCATATCATAGTTGCTATCATCTATTTGTTGCCCATAGACCATAGGGAACTTGTAGTTAAAAGAGGCATAGCCTAAGGGACACATTCTAATCCTCCTTGTGGTTGTGTCATTCAACGAATTGCTTATAGCAGATCCTGATGCCAAGTTTTAACTAAGAGGAGATGCAATAGTCATTGCGTTATCTGCATATGTAGATGCACTAGTTTGTAGGCTTGTCATCATTGCAATTGGCATGTCATATGGGCATTCCGTACTGCTAAGGGCCAACATAAAGCTTGGAAGAAAAGAAGGTCTAAAGTCTCCTATAGTGGTTTGTGTACGCATGAGAGTAGTTGGAAAACTAGTTGTATGTAGTGGTTGAACCACCACTTCTAATAATGTCTTTAAAACTGACATTTGAATTAATATATGAGTGGTTGCTCCAACGGACATTGAAGTTTCTGTGCCACTAGCTGTCAATTCGATTGGTCATTCTTGTACATCTAAGATATTATTCTAAGAAAGTGAAGAATTTTTTAACGTTAAACAAACCATCTCAACAAAAATTTTATCATTCTTCAAGACACATATATATACCCTGAAACATTGAAAAGATTAAAAAGATGATACATAAAAACTTTATTAATAATAGAATTTCATCATTCCAATTTAATTTAATTAAATGATGACTTTTAAAAATATCAAATAGAATTATGATTTAGTGTTGATCCTTGAAGTGGTCATATGAACTAAGTGACATATAACTACATTATTTTGATAATCTATAAATGGAATCTATGGGATTGGTTTTTTAAAAGGCGAATTCTATTAATAGTGTAGGATAAAAACTCAAATTAGAGCACAATTAAGTAGACAATTGATACAAGTAGTACTAAAAACTACACTTGGGAGAAAAAAAATGAGAAACAACAAATAAAAAATTTAAAACTACAAGTCACAAAGGAACAAGCCACCACAAAAAAACTTCTGACAAAATAAATATAATTAAAATGAATTAAAATACTATTTTAAAATTCAAAATAAATGATGTATCATGATATAATCTCTATTTTAAATGAGTTGTTACAAAATGAATTATAACTATAAAAATATAGAAAGAAAAAGGAAAAGAGGCTTGTTTACTTGCTCATAAAATTAATAATTTCACACTATAGAAATACAAGGAAACAAATGCAAAGAAAAGAAAGCAATATCAAAATAGAACTGAGAACATTAAAAGAAACTTTCAACATCTTAAATGGAATACTAGTACTCACAATGATCACCGACTACCGACAACTTATTTATTCTCGTTGACACATTTCGAAAAGTACTTGAAAAAGTCCGATGAGTAGAGAATTCTTCGAATTTTTTTTAATATAACCATGTTATTCAATAAAAATATCAAATAAATCAAATTTTCAATTTTTTTTTTAAATTGACCATATTTTAACGTTCTGTCGTCAATTGATGTGGCGACTCGGACTAATTTAAAAATACTCGCCAATTGAGATAGCGACTCAGGTTATGGCTTGGAGTGGTGTCGCCAAACGGGTTAGCGACTTGGCCATGTAGTTTTTTTTTTCTTTTTAGGGTTTACGCATTTTCCATTTAATTAAAATATTTTTTTATACATTTTATAAATTAAATGTATCCACTGTTTGACTACCAAACCCCACAACAACCAACACACCAATTCCAACTCAATTTGGTGTACGAATTCGGACAACCATACCGTCCATACTCCACCCAACCTCCCCGACAATCCTACGAAAACATGGGCATTGGGCTTAACTACGGAAGCGTCGTTGATAGTGGACCTCCCAGCTATTGGGGTCAAATGCTTCAAAATTTATCTGATATGACGGGGCCGTCCCAACAAAACCCTCCTCCACAACTCAACGCACAAAGACCGGACACGCCACAGCAACCTCGTCGTAGACCTCGTCGCAACGCGCATCCTCCACAATGTGGCACCGGTGGTCACTTGGATAGAGCCGACCATTATTTATTTTTTTGTTCAATTGTAATTTTCATTCTATTATAAATTAATATATTTTAATATTTATTACATTTCTATATTTTTTAAAGTTATTTAAATTTCAATTAATTATAAAAAACATAAACTATAATTTAATATTTATTCTATTTTTTTTATTATGTACATTTTAATTAATTATAAAAAACAAAAAAATATAATTTAATATTTATTCTATTTCTTATTTTTTTAACATTATTTAAAATTCAATTAATTATGAAAAATAAAAAACATAAATTAATTTTTTTTTCAATATTTACATACTAATTAATTATGCAAAAAAAATATAATTTAATATTTATTTAATTTCTTTTTTTAATAAAAATTAATTATTAAAACATAATTTAATATTTTTTTATAAAAACATAATTGAAATTAATTCTTAAAAAATAAACATAAACTAAAACATGAAACGAAAATCCTAAAAAGAAAAAAAAAAAAATCAAATGGACCCTATCGCCAATTCACTTGGCGAAAATGGAAAAAAAAATAGTTTGGCCCAACTCGCCATTTCGTTTGGCGATATTGTCCAAATGAGGAGTGCATTCACCACATCAATTGGCGAAAAATGTTAAAACATAGCCGGTTTGAAATTTTTTTTTGAAATTTTTATTTATTTAATATTTTTATTGAATAATATGGTTATATTAAAAAAAACCGAATTCTTCAATGTTCATTAGTTTGGAAAAGTTAAAATCAAATTAAAATTAATTATGATATTTGAGTTTGATAATTTTTTTTTAAAATCAAATCAAACCAATGAATTTTGAAATTAACTATTTTAAATAATGGATTCTGAAATTTTAATTATAAGTCAGTCTATTTGAATTAATTTATATAATTTATATTATTATTATTATTATTATTTTTAAAGAGATGATTATAATATATTCAATATTAAGAAGAAAGAAAATGAAATTTCATTGTGACATTCGAAACATATATGATAAAATGAAAAAATTTAAATTTTATATTATCATATAAAATTAGTCGATATTTTTTAAAAATATTTTGCATATTTATTTTAAAGCAAATTTTTAAATATCCATTATATGTAATTGAATACTGGTATTTTTAATGAAAATTCTATTAAAAAATTAACTTAATTTTAAATAAAAAATATATAAAATATGACGTCGTTAAGTATTATTGTTTTATTGAATAAAGATATTAGTCCCTAATTGAATCTAAAGATACTTGGAATGCTTATCTTATTTTTAACATATCCGATAATTAATTATTTTTTTTTCGATTTACTTTGATTTGAATTTTGTCAAAAAGAAAAAGTGTAAATATTCAATTCCAATCATTCATACTTTTTGTTCGGTTTAAAAATCAAGTTCTTTTAAAACCGAACAAATCTATTTGTGAACACCCAAATCAATTATGTCGTAAATGATTACAAATGGTTTACATCACTTTCAGCAACAATATCGAAACATATTGTTCCGTGTTCGTTCTCATCACTTCTTGTCACTTTATCTAAGCTAGAAAATCTTATCACAGTTTAAAAAAAATATTTTTAAATATTTTATATTTTTTCTGTCTTAAAATAAATGTCAGATTAAAATATCAATATAATATTTATTATACTAATTTTATTATTAAAATTAACATATCTAATATTTTTAAAGAAATTCGCATTTGTCAAATCAAACATACATATTTTTTAGGAGAAAGAAAGAGAATCTGCATGTGTTACCCGTGACTGCAATAATATGGCATTTGTATAGATTGAAATAGAATGCTGCCTTTGCCTTTGCACAACAGGGACAGTTTTTAAAGAGGTATCCTATGCTTACACTCAGTTTTCATACACCATGTTTACAAGGTAATTTTTTCACAACATTTAAGCATTGACACATAAACCAAAGCAAAAAGAAATGATTAAAAAACACAAATGTATAGGTAAGAGTATATAAGTACGGTGTTGGTGTAATTTTTTGGTGTCAATACTCTCTATAAATAAAATATTCATCTTTAGCATTCTCAGTGAGAAGAACAAGTCTGCCTTATAATTTCTCTTGGGCTATCCAGAAACGTGAAAAGCTCACCCATGGCAACTGCTTCGTTGGTCTCTGCTGCTCTGAAAAGGTAATCATGTTGCAACTTCACTTCGTTTAATTTGTTTAGTGCTTACACATGCAAGTAGTGTGTTTCTTCACACTTAACTAACCAATAGTTTTGGGTATCATTTATGAAGGCTTGAGGGAAAGGTGGCTCTGATCACCGGTGGTGCAAGCGGCATCGGAGAGGCCACCGCGAGACTCTTCTCTCAAAACGGAGCTAAAGTCGTTATAGCTGACATCCAAGACGATCAAGGTCATTCTGTTTGTCAAGAGTTGCACAAATCATCAACTTCCTATGTTCATTGCGATGTGACAAATGAAAAAGACGTAGAAAACGCCGTGAACACAACGGTTTCCAAGTACGGTAAACTAGACATCATGTTTAACAACGCCGGCATAACCGGTGTAAACAATACCAACATACTTGAATACAAATTATCCGATTTTCAACAAGTGATTAACGTTAACTTGGTTGGTGTCTTTCTCGGAACAAAACATGCTTCAAGGGTAATGATCCCTGCTAAACGAGGTAGCATAATTAACACAGCTAGTGTTTGTGGAAGCATAGGCGGTGTGGCTTCACATGCTTACACGAGTTCAAAGCACGCCGTCGTGGGGCTGACGAGGAACACGGCGGTCGAGCTTGGACCGTCTGGCGTTCGGGTGAACTGCGTGTCTCCTTATGTGGTTGCTACTCCGTTGGCTAAGAATTTCTTTAAGCTTGATGATGATGGGTGTCTAAGCGTTTATTCAAACTTAAAGGGTGCTAATCTTATGCCAAATGATGTTGCTGAAGCTGTTTTGTTCTTGGGAAGTGATGAGTCAAAGTATGTTAGTGGTCATAATCTTGTTGTTGATGGAGGGTTTACAGTTGTGAACAATGGATTCTGTGTCTTTGGACAATCTGTCTGATTATGTGTATTTTGATGTGTCTTTATGTCACAACTCCTGCTAATAATAACATCTTGAGTTAAGTAAAAATGCTAATGTTTAACAAATAAAATTTGTTTTAACATGAATATCGTTATCAATTTTTAATATAAAATATTTTTTATTTTTCAAATCCTGTCTTCTAATTATAATTTTAGACATTATTTTTAACACATTAAATATTTGATAAAAATATAATATTTTATAATAATATTGTTCTGGACTGGGCCGAGGCTTAGCCCACAATCGAGAAGGCCCAAAATCCCACTGAGGTTGGGCCCAATTGGACCACACTGATGAGCAGGGACCCATGGGCAGAACCTCATCCCGTCAGGGCAGAACCTCCTCCCGTCAGGCAGGTGCCCATCCTGACGAGCAGAACCTGTGCCCATCCTGACGAGCAGAACCTGTGCCCAGCCCGTCAGGGCAGAACCTCCTCCCGTCAGGCAGGTGCCCATCCTGACGAGCAGAACCTGTGCCCAGCCCGTCAGGGCAGAACCTCCTCCCGTCAGGCAGGTGCCCATCCTGACGAGCAGAACCTGTGCCCATCCTGTCGGGCAGAACCTGTGCCCATCCCGTCAGGGCAGAACCTCCTCCCGTCAGGCAGGTGCCTATCCTGACGGGCAGAACATGTGCCCATCCTGTCGGGCAGAGCCTGTGCCCATCCCGTCAGGGCAGAACCTCCCCTCCGCGGGGAGAATAACGTGCTCGGCGCACGTTCTCCACGTGCTCCCCTCCGCGGGGACACGTCACCGGCCAACTGCCCACCTCCGAAAGAGCAGGTCAAACCCACTCTCCGGAGATCTAGGAGCGGTTGAACTAGGGCGAAGACCACGTCCTGGTCTTCACTACGCCACGTAAGCCCTAGCAGTCATTAGGGTTGGGCCTGGTCATCCAGCCCACCTCGAATGACCGTTGGCCCAGCGCTGGGGTCTCTCTATAAATACCCTCTTCCCCAAGAGGGCCAGGTAATTCACCTCTTCTAACTTTCTGTTCTTGCTCTCACTCTGCCCAAATTCTGACTTTGGCATCGGAGTGCCTTGCAGGTACACCCCCTCCTCATCCTCAACACCGGTGAACAGGAAGCAGCCTAACGGAGCGTGGCCATCCCGTGATCCCTTCCTTCTAGCGCCAGATCAGTGGCGCCGTCTGTGGGAAACTAAGCTCCCCCGTTCCTCCGAGCAGAGAACCAAAGCTTCATCTCTCAAAACTTCAAGATCACGAGTGCCCTCCGCCATGGCGACGCTGTTCACAATTGTCCTCCCTTCGTCGAGCAGAAGACTCCGATGGGCAGGACCTGGCTGCCCACCAGCCAGTCTTTGTCCTCCTTTCGCCGAGCAGAAGACTCCGATGGGCAGGACCTAGCTGCCCACCAGCCAGTCTTTGTCCTCCTTTCGCCGAGCAGAAGACTCCGATGGGCAGGACCCTGGCTGCCCACCAGCCAGTCTTTGTCCTCCTTTCGCCGAGCAGAAGACTCCGATGGGCAGGACCCTGGCTGCTCACCAGCCAGTCTTTGTCCTCCTTTCGTCGAGCAGAAGACTCCGATGGGCAGGACCCTGGCTGCCCACCAGCCGATCTTTGTCCTCCTTTCGTCGAGCAGAAGACTCCGATGGGCAGGACCTGGCTGCCTACCAGCCAGTCTTTGTCCTCCTTTCGCCGAGCAGAAGACTCCGATGGGCAGGACCCTGGCTGCCCACCAGCCAATCTTTGTCCTCCTTTCGTCGAGCAGAAGACTCTGATGGGCAGGACCTGGCTGCCCACCAGCCAGTCTTTGTCCCCTCCTTTCGCCGAGCAGAAGACTCCGATGGGCAGGACCCTGGCTGCCCACCAGCCAGTCTTTGTCCTCCTTTCGCCGAGCAGAAGACTCCAATGGGCAGGACCCTGGCTGCCCACCAGCCAGTCTTTGTCCTCTCTTTCGTCGGGCAGAAGACTCTGCCGGGCAGGACCCTAGCTTCCATCCATCCTTGTCCTCCCTTCGAAAACCTACTACCTCGAAAACTTACACGGGACCATATAGCTCGACCATGGAACGCTGAAAAGCTAAAAAATACTACAGTTAAACAACACTGCCCGCGTGGGACAACCCGCGCGAACAATAGGGTGGACTGATACGACCACACCTCACCGACCTTACCTTAGCGGGCACTATACCTCCCCGAACAAAAAGAGAATAGCCCGCTCGACGGCACCCCCTCGATCGAGAGTCGCCGCCGCAGTATCATAATCGGCCGAACGCCCAGCTCGCGATGGGATGTTCAAGCCTACAGGATAGATCACAACCGTGACCTAACTCTTGTCCGCCCAGGAAGCTACCCCGGGCATCCGGATAGTTCCCCACACTACCGGGTAACACGCACCGAGCAAAGGTCCCCCACAAAATAATAAACATTCACGTCATAATGGAGCTCGGCAAAACGAGCCAACACTTAGCGAAAAAGCATAACGATCATGCACGCACACAAAACTTAGAAAGGAAAACAAGAATTCCATAAAAGGGGCACAAGCCCAGAAGTCAAAACGTTATAATAAACGGGCACGACCCCGGGTGTCGAGCAGAAACGATCGAAGGTGTCGAGCATAATTTTTTGGATGTCGAGCGACTGCAATTTCGCCCTTCCCAGATGATCGATACGATCGACGACATTCTCGCATCCTGCCTGACATATCAGCGCGCGCAACGCTATTCTCTACTTAAGTCATAGCTCTCCTGACAGCGAACTACGACTTGGGGGGCTCCTGTTCTGGACTGGGCCGAGGCTTAGCCCACAATCGAGAAGGCCCAAAATCCCACTGAGGTTGGGCCCAATTGGACCACACTGATGAGCAGGGACCCATGGGCAGAACCTCATCCCGTCAGGGCAGAACCTCCTCCCGTCAGGCAGGTGCCCATCCTGACGAGCAGAACCTGTGCCCATCCTGACGAGCAGAACCTGTGCCCAGCCCGTCAGGGCAGAACCTCCTCCCGTCAGGCAGGTGCCCATCCTGACGAGCAGAACCTGTGCCCATCCTGACGAGCAGAACCTGTGCCCAGCCCGTCAGGGCAGAACCTCCTCCCGTCAGGCAGGTGCCCATCCTGACGAGCAGAACCTGTGCCCATCCTGTCGGGCAGAACCTGTGCCCATCCCGTCAGGGCAGAACCTCCTCCCGTCAGGCAGGTGCCCATCCTGACGGGCAGAACCTGTGCCCATCCTGTCGGGCAGAGCCTGTGCCCATCCCGTCAGGGCAGAACCTCCCCTCCGCGGGGAGAATAACGTGCTCGGCGCACGTTCTCCACGTGCTCCCCTCCGCGGGGACACGTCACCGGCCAACTGCCCACCTCCGAAAGAGCAGGTCAAACCCACTCTCCAGAGATCTAGGAGCGGTTGAACTAGGGCGAAGACCACGTCCTGGTCTTCACTACGCCACGTAAGCCCTAGCAGTCATTAGGGTTGGGCCTGGTCATCCAGCCCACCTCGAATGACCGTTGGCCCAGCGCTGGGGTCTCTCTATAAATACCCTCTTCCCCAAGAGGGCCAGGTAATTCACCTCTTCTAACTTTCTGTTCTTGCTCTCACTCTGCCCAAATTCTGACTTTGGCATCGGAGTGCCTTGCAGGTACACCCCCTCCTCATCCTCAACACCGGTGAACAGGAAGCAGCCTAACGGAGCGTGGCCATCCCGTGATCCCCTCCTGATCAGGTCAGATCAAATATTATTGTATTTTTTAATTTAAGAATGAAAGGAGTAATTTTATAAAGATCTTTTCAATTTAGTTTGGATAATTATTTTTCATTAACATAATCTACCGGACCCATTTTGTTGTGATTGACCGTAACTATTGACTTGACATTTGCTTTGCATTGCTAAAGTGGGTTTCTGGACCTCAATACTAATCAAAACAAATAAAATTAGACAATAAAATTTTAAATGCCATTTCTTAGTTCTATCATTTAAATTTAAAATAATTAAATATGATTTTTCTTTTTGTTGTACCTTTGGAGGAGTTTCTTGGTCGAGGGATGCTCCCGATGATGAATGTGATGCATCGACGTTTTCTTTTCTGGTCCTCTTCTTCATTGTTGATGTTTTCCTTTTTTCTTTAGTTCTAAAAATGACAAGATGGTAGTTTGTCATTACGTAACATTTGTGTATTTTCAACCGAATCGAAGAAATTATGAGATAAAGTCAAGCTAAAATGTTAAAGTAGTGAGCAAAATTGCAAAAGAGGTAGAAAGTTGGGACTTAGAAAACATAAGAGAAAAACAAGTTTTGCCAAATTTCAACATAAGTGTAACCATCCAACTATAACTTTTGTTCTTCTTCATTTTAAGCTCCTTCTTGGTCTTTTCATGCTTCTTTGAACTAACATTTACACCAAATTGCTTGCCAAATTTCTTCCCAACTTCCTTGTCAATGCCCTTCCCAAACTCTCTCAAATAAGCCATTACCATTTCATAGTTATTACAATTTGTAGGAATTTTCTAAGTTATTTGAACCTGACCAAGTTCATCGTCCCAGATAAATAATTCATAGCTTACCACGCTCTACATTAGGTATCAAATAAGAATAAAGTATGAGTTAAACTTAAGAGAAAAATTGAGAAAAAATTAGCGACTTGCTTGCACCTGAAGGTCGAACATCTCAAATGACATGGCAAACCATGGACCACGTAGAGTAAAGAAAACATGTCACATAGGCTTTAATTAAGATTCTGGGTTGAAACAGTCAACCCATGGGCCAGACAGAGGAAATCTTAATGTTATACGAGGGGATCAATTTTTTTTACAGGGGAATATTCAGAAACTCGCTAACCTTACAGGGGGTGACGTATATTTAACCCTATTAATTTGATAAAATATAATATCTTATAATAATATTATTGCATTATTTAATCTAAGAACGAAAGGAGTAATCTTATAAACTTCTTCCCAATTTATCCTGGACAATCATTTTTCATTAACATAATCTAGAATGACCTACTACAGGGTCTATTTTATTTTGAA